TTTGGGTTACGTTAGAATTTGGTAATCACACAGTAACTCATGTAGGTATGATTTGTAGGCCTCCAGGACAAATAGAATTGTTAGATAATCTACTAGTTGAGTAAATAGCTAAAATGATGATGAAGGAGGAAGTTACTAGATTTAGTGTTAACAAATGGAGATTTGGTATCAGATATTACTGTAGGTGAAAGTTTAGGATCTAGTGATCATCAGTCAGTGTGGTTTAATATGAGCTTCAATAGTACATGTGGAACTGCACTCACTCCCACAAATCTGAGTCAGGGTGCTTGCTGAGCCAGAATCAAACACCAGATTTCCAAACTTTAGTAAAGTAAGAGAGGTCCAGGCACTCCTTGGTTCAAGACAGGCACTTTATTAGGAACCACAACAGCAACGTTTTGACCCTAAAAGGTCTTTGTCAAGCTGATACATACATCAATTTTATAATATATATAACAAACTTTAAACAATCACAATTATAAAATATACATGTGAATCAGTATCCTAAGCAAGTAGTTTAACAGCTGAAAGTAGTTTATTACTTATCAACAATACTTTGTTAATTACATTAATTAGAAAGAGAGTCTAATACTTAATTGCCAATAATGAACGAGCTTTGAAAAAGAAATGTATACATTATTTTTATATGGATACTGACATAACATCCAAGTGTATATAGGACATACAATACACATATACAACATAAATACAGTACAAAGATAAGACCAGAGTATACGAATACAGAAATTTACATTATCGATTAGAAATCCTTGATCAAAATCAGAGTATTAATATTAAGTATCCTTAACATATTAAGCGCTTCAAGTTCAAAGAGTTTTCATATATAGAAGAAAGTTTGTATAAAGAGATGCCCTTAAGTAGGTTATTTCCATTAAATTAAAGATCCTTGATCAAAATTACAGAGTATTGATATAAAGTATCCTTAACACATAAAGCACATCAAATTCACAGTATGTAAGGGAAAGTGTAAAGAAAGAAATACCCTTAAATAGGCCAGAACGACTCATTTGGAGTCGAAGTGTATATAATATCTGCATAATCTAACAACTTTTAAAGAGACAGAGATTCGACTATAATCACTGTGAGTGATAGAAAAGTGCAAAATGTATAGGATTTAAACCAGTGTTCAACTCCAGTTTGAATTAAATAAATGGCTATACATATAGAAGAATAGAAGAATGAAGCCATTGATTATGAGATTAAAATAAGGAGGTATATTGTGCATTAAAGGTATACACACCTTACCAAAGTAAGAAATTGGTGCAAAAAACTATAATGAAGAGAGATGACAGCAGTATAATTAAATTAAAGAAATATCCATAAAGGATATAATAGAGGTCTGCCATCTCAGTTCAAATACAAATAAAGACTATACCCTGGATACTTAATAAACACATAAATATAAAAGTATAAATAACACATCGATCATATAGTTATACTATGAAATTAAGAAATGTAATGTTCACTATTGTGTTAAAGGATTTCATGTTCACAATATAAGACTGGTCAGATTATAAAATCTAATGTATCTGGAAGACTAACACCAGCAACAATCCCCTCAATTGAGGAATGTCTGTAATGACAAAAAGAGAAAAATAACAATCGATTACATAAGACAGAAGACTTTTTTACATAAAACAGAAGAATTTATAAAATAAAAAATACTTTTAAAATCAAATTAAATTAACGAGATGAGGTCAAGTTCCTGATTTAAGCCCTTTGGAGAAAGAGTATCCAACTCTTTGATCCAAAAGGCTTCACATAAAAGGAGTCTCCTTAATCTATCTCCCCGTCTAATATTTGTCTGCACATGTTCTATTATTTGAAATCTCAATTGGGAAATGTTATGATGAGCTATATTGAAATGTGAGGGTATAGGCAACTCCAATAGGCCCATCCTAATGGTGGAGTTATGCTTTGAAAATCTGTCCTTAATTTTTTGAGTTGTTTGACCCACATATAAGAGCCCACAAAGGTAGTTAGACATGTAACATGTTGTCTTACAGGGTATTTTTTTCCACTAAACGGATGACAAAATACTGATCCTTTGATCATTGAGTTGCATGAGACGCAACTTAGACAAGGAAAGTTGCCATTCTTTTTAGAAGTTTGTGAGATTTGTTTTGGTAATTCAGCTTTAATTAACTTATCTCGAAGAGATGGAGCTCGTTTATATACAGGCACAGGCTTATTTTTAAATTCCTTAATTATCCCCCCTAGATAATATATTCCAATGTTTATTCAATATTTTATTCAATATTTTATTTATATCAGTAGATAAGACATTATATTGAGAAATAAATTTGATTATTTTACCTATGTCTCGTTTAGGTCTTGATATCAGTAGATCTTGTCACATGACAGTTTTCAATGACTCTAGTTGATCTTGTAACATTTCAGAAGGATAACCTCTTTCACTAAACCTAGTACTCATTTCTGAAAGATGTTGATTGGTTTGTTCTGTAATGGATACCAATCTTTTTACCCTCATGAATTGACTTCTCGGTAAAGATTTAAGTGTAAAAGAGGGGTGAAAGCTGCTATAATAAAGTACAGCATTTTTATCCAATGGTTTTCTATAAATACTCATCTCTAGTCTAACATTAACTTTAGAGACAAGTATATCCAAAAATGGAATTTAATCAAAATCCATATTCATAGTAAATTTAATACTAGTCGAAAAACCATTGAGAAAACAAAATAATTCCTTGAGGGGTTCCAATGGGTCAACCCACAACGCCAGCACATCATCTATATAGCGCCACCACTTCAGAACATGTTTCTGAAAGAGCATGTTCTTATAGATGAAATCTTCCTCTAATTGTGCCATGAATATGTGGGCGTATGTGGGGGCTACATTGGGGGCTACATATGGTTTAATATAAGAACAGTGACTGATTCACACTACACAAAAGCAAAAGCTTTAGACTTTATAAAAACAGACTTTTCTAAATATAATATGTGTAAAGGAGTCATCAGACTGGAGCAGTTTAAATCGAGTCCAAGAGCAATGGGATTATTTAAAAGTTGCACTACTGAAGGCAACAGAAAATCGCATTAAGCTTGTCCGTAAGAGCAAAAAAATTAAAGAAACCACAATGGTACTCTGCAGAAGTGGCCAAAATAGTAAAAAATAGCATTTAGTAATTATAAAAAAAAAAAAAAACAGAGTGAAGAAGATACACAGATCGATAAGATTAGGTAGAAAGAGGCTAAGCAAGTTATAAGAGCTTCCAAATCACACACAGAAGAGAAAATAGCACAGTCAGTAAAAAACAGGGGACAACACATTTTTTTTAGATACATAAATGAGAAAAGGAAAGTAAACAAGGATTAACACAGTGAAGGAGTTTAAGCATGCGTGGGTTAGGCATAAGGTTATCCTAGCTATAAGATAAGGCCAGGGACTACTGAGAGTATTTAGAAAATTGGGCAGACTAGATTGGCCGAATGGTTCTTATCTGCCGTTGCATTCTATGTTTCTATGTTTCTATGACTAGGTTATAATATTATTTAGACATGTTAATCTTAATACACATTGGTACTTGTGAATATACTATTAGTATATGTGGAAATTCTTTAAACATGATATGACTAGATAGCTTAAAGAAGCACTATAGTGTCAGGAAGACAAACATATATTTCTGACCCTATAGTGTTAAAGCCACCATCTAGCCTGTTCAGGTAAGCAAAACTCACCTTTGCCCACCATCCTCAGCCACATGACCCCATTGGTGGTCTTTGCAAATTCTGTAAATTCTGCAAAGTCCCCAGATAGTGATAGTGCTGCTTTAAAAAGAAAAATATTTAATTGTAGTTTCATAAATGATTCACTTACTTGTCTGTTTTAGCTCAAATTAAACAATGCAGTAACAGTCTAATTTTAATGGGATAATATCTTTGCTCTGAACCCTACATTTTATTGTTTTATAAATCATATACCAGCCGACACCAGACTATTGCTTGTTTCTGTATAAATCCAAAGAGTTGCTAATCATAATTTTGTATTTGAACAAATAATTATATGCAACAGACAATCAGATCTCACATTAACAGGGCATCATTTTTACAGATGCAAGTGCTTATATTTCCATGTTTTAATCTCAACTATACACATAAATCCTTTCTCCAACAATTGTAGACATTGTACTCATTTGCTTATGAAGTAAAACTGCTTATGGGGACCATAGAAACATAGAATGTGACGGCAGATAAGAACCATTCGGCCCATCTAGTCTGCCCAATTTTCTAAATACTTTCATTAGTCCCTAGTCTTATCTTATAGTTAGGATAGCCTTATGCCTATCCCACGCATGCTTAAACTCCTTTACTGTGTTAACCTCTACCACTTCAGCTGGAAGGCTATTCCATGCATCCACTACCCTCTCAGTAAAGTAATACTTC